TCGTTTTGGAAAAAAAATGATTTCGTGGGTTTATCAGTCAGGATTATTTTGTAATGTCAAGTCGTCAATCTGTAAAGATGAAAGCGAAAATAACGGAAGTAGGACAAATGAAATGAAAAAGACGAGACAACAAAGGCAGTGTAAAAATGTCTAAATTAATTTTCCGTCACTGCAAATGCATAGCTAGTTAGAAATAAGATGGAAGCATTTATACTCACGAAAATATGAAGATAATACTATCAAATTCTTCTCTATCCCATTCTATATAGAAAACATATATATATATATATATATATATATATATATATATATATATATATATATATATATATATATATTCAAAGTTTCCAGTAACCAAAAAACACTATTTTTTAAAAAAGTGCTCAATACATACTAGAACAAATAATATTTATTTAAAAATTATAACATAGGTGTGATAAAATCACTACAAAATTAGCCATTTTGTGTCACCACTTCTGGTGTCTTGTCAAGTGATGGTGTTGCAAGTAAAATAAAGAAATTTTAAAGAGTTCAAAACCAACCACTACTCCAACCGGAGAAAATATATTCAATCACATTTATGTCTTCGTCTATTATGACTTGATGTCTGTATGTCTAGGCACAAATAAACCTTTCTCCCTTGGCCATTAAATCTATCATCACGACCCTGTCAACATAACTGACTCTGTAGCCATATATTGTACCTCTTACCACAGCTCAGATTAGGACGAAAAATTTAGCCTATTACATGAATGCAATACATGAAAATTTAGGCATATTTTCTCCGTTTCTTTTATGATTAATTTTGTTAGTTTAAAACCTTGATGCATGCTTATATTTAGAGTTTAATATTCATAACTTTTATTTTTTTAATTATAAAATTAATTAGTTATCCTGATCAACCTATAAAATTTAATACTTATTTTAAAACATTAATAAATTGTATCTAGTGTCCGTCCATCGTCGCGTTATTTGAATTATCATATACCTGTAATTTGATTGGGCAATACATTTTACGTAAAAATATTTCCCCCAGTGGGGGTAGTGGTTTAAAATTCTATGTTGTGTAATAGGACTCGCTTGGATTATACCAACGGATTACTACCTATATACATACATATATATATATATATATATATATATATATATATATATATATATATATATATAGTAATATATATGTATATATATAAGCCCGTTTCCGAACAGCCAGTCTAAGGCTGAAGAAGTCGGGCATAAGGTTGTACCGGTTTGAAATAGACTATACCCACATGAGGTAATTTGGGATTTTTGCTATATTATATATATATATATATATATATATATATATATATATGATTAAAAAAATGTCCCTGTGCATTTATGATATGTAATGAAATTTAATGACTAAAAAGGCAACGGAATGATAGCAGTATTGACATTAAGCGTGATGATATTTGATATTTTCCTCAAAATTCATTAAACAGCCTCTCTCCCACACACACACACAAACACGCACACACACAGAGACATATATATATATATATATATATATATATATATATATATATATATATATATATATATATATGCGTTACATTTCCAATATAAATAAAATATATCTACAAAAAGACAACATGAATAGCGACAAAAAGAATACTTTTCTTTACCAACGTATTGTAGGTGTATATAAGACATATATGACAATGAATATGAATGTCTCCTGTTGAGTTTTTCTCATGTCGGATGTAGGATCTTATAAAGAAACTTGCTGAAAATATGTGTATTATTTCGAGTAGTTACGACTTAAGACATTTTCTATGTAAAATGGGGAAAATCGAGACATAGAGGGTGAAGTGATTATGCAGTTAACTTTCAGGCTTTTAAGATGAATGTGGTTTATATATATATATATATATATATATATATATATATATATATATATAAATATGTATGTCTTTGTGTCTGTCTTTGTGTCTGTCTTTCTGTACATCTATAGAAAGAAAAAATCTACTTCACTGATCTTGGAACATAGATAGTACATATAAAAGGGGGCTACTATGAGTTATGTTTGATTTATTTTGAGGGGAGAAATGTGGGAGACCCCTCCTTGAAAATAAATGTACATCTGTAGAAATAAAATCTAAATCATCGATCTTCATTAAATTTGGAACATAGTAGACATAAAAGGAAATATAATTATTTTGATCAAAGGATGTCCTCGGGTAATGGGGGGGGGGTCACAACCCTCCATCAAATTTTTCGCTTCGATTTAAATGAAATTTAAACTGGTGTAAATCAGTTGAAATGATGCTTACTCCCAAAATATCAGCCAATTTAAATAATATCTAGACATTCTGCTGGTGGCTGATCCCCCCCCCCAGTGAAAATTTTAGAAGCCCTTGAGTATCTGAACCTCTATTATCATGGTGTTTTTATCATAGGGCTATATGTTTTAGTCACCTTTGATATATTTTGAAGCCAACTTCAAAGTTACTTCCTTAGAGTTCGAAGTGGTGGAGTTGGGGTCGGTCCTAAAAATCTAAACAACATAACTATTGCATAGATTCTTATGAGATTTGAAAGAGATTCTATTCATGACACTTAACAACATAGACTATATATATATATATATATATATATATATATATATATATATATATATATATATATATACTTATTATTTTTAAAAGTGGGTGTTCAGGGATGCACAAATTGTTTCCAATGACTGAAATGAAATTTAAACCATGCATTTTTTTTTTTTACATTCATTTCATTTTTGCATCCAGGACAGTAAATTTAGTTTCCTATCACCTAGACAATAGCTACTGTTTCAATCTTATATAATGATCCAATTAATATGGGTTCTAGTATAGTTTCCCATAAATTTTGTCTTTTAGACTAAAGAGGCATCACTTGGGTCAACGCAATGACTACAATTTAATTAATATGCAACTTTACAATTTATTTGAATTATTCTTGATAAACGAGTTTATCAAGAATATAAACAAAGCAAATTCTCTTTTTAATCCGACATTTTTTTATTACTTCAAACGTGTTTATTCTTATTTGAAATAAACGCCCCATTTTTATTTATTAAACAGTTTATACCACATACTTTCAGCTATCCGTAACCATCATCAAAACCTTTACGGTTTTATGTGTTTTGTGCTTGGTTTCTTCATTTTTAATTATCAAGCGTTCAAATGATAGATCCTGTTTTATTAGTATTGAAATAGATTTAGTAGGTTGTGTTTCTACATTTGATATTAATCTATTGATAGTTGGTTGTCTGTTTTATAGTTTTTTACAGTTTAGATGATATTTAACCTGTGTGTTGTTAGCAAGGAGTTTTCGGCTTTTTTGTTGTGTTTTTCCGTTGTGTTTGGTTGGTGATATATGACTCAATTGAGCTATTATCAGAAGACGTCCCAAGAAATATATACTCACTTAACAGCTGATAACTCACTTTTCACAATTAATCCATTAATGGTGACAGTCACACTAAGCGTTGAACCAAATATATTTATCCGAAGATGTTATTGGAAGTTTCAAAAACGCAGTTGAAGTGCAAAGATAATTCAAGGGGAAGTTTCAGTCTCTCGAATTAAGGGCACACTTGACGTAGATGAAACTCTTCAGAATGTCCGCAAGAAACATTCCCGAAGACCGCGTACATCGACGAATACAACAAAGCAAGAAAGAGTATTAGAAACGTATCGTCAGAGTTAAAGAAACCATTGGCCGCAAACGAGACATAAGATAGGATATTCATTATTTTGAAGCGGTGTTATTGTAAAAGTTATATTTCAAAAATATTTAATTCAGGACTGAACAGTAAAGCGAGAGGTTCCTGGCAAGAATTGTAGAAGGTGCAGACTTTCCAACAAAGATTGTTTGCAGTGATGATGCAAAATTTGAATTAAATTTCTCAAATAACAGTCACAATAGCACCTACTATGACCTGAAATCCATATATTATGGATGGACATCATGTTTGCCAAGAGTTACAATGTAGTGCATTTGAAAATTATATATATACTAGTTTAAAAGCTGACCGATGGGGCGGCATTTAAGCTAGCTTCTGCGGAGGGTTCTTGAATGGGCCTTCAGCTTCTTCAAGAGTTTTTCCAAAGGTTTTTGCATATTCTCTTCATTGGAAGCTCTTTTGGCTGCTCTTTGATCTGGGTTCTCATTTGCATTGGCCTTTGTTTACCTCGCTTCAGTCTTGTCTCTTTTAATTGCAATCTTGGTCCTTTGTTGGCGGAGATTTATTTTAGCGAGGGATACTGCTACCATATGCGATAGGCAAAATAAACTACAGAAGAACTTAAAATTGATCGCTATATATATATATATATATATATATATATATATATATATATATATATATATATATATATATATATATATATCAGTCCAGTAGTAGAATGGGATATAACAAAACAAAAAGAAGGAAACTAAGGGAAAGATTGCAATCAATGTTGAAAATCATAGAATTTCGGCAATAAGCAAAAGTAGTTAAACTATTTTTTAACTGTTTTAAGTTACAAAACTGGTTTTCTTTGTGGCCAATTCAAGAATTGGGATGGATTTGGGATAAAACAAATTATTTTATACTGTCTGTACGTTCACAAATTCATTTTGAAAAACGTGAAAAAAAACTCTAGAGCCAATGTGTTTCCATAAACAACAAAATCGCGCAAATGCTCTTTTTGAAAATCACACAGCGTAAAACAGCCTGGAAATGCGTAAATAATCAAAATGTTCTATCTATCTATCTATCTATCTATCTATCTCGGGAACGAACAACTGAAGTCCAACATATGATTTCCAGCACCATGTAAGGAATCGATTGACATATTCGCATAAGTAGCAACAATTAGTATGATTCTAGGAAAATGACAGTTGTGACGTGAATTGAGAAAGAGAAAGTAGAGATTTTGAAAGAAAAATTGAAAGAGAAAGGAAACAACGGACAAAATGAAGCTACTTGTTTTAGAGGAAAAACTGTGGAAAGTTGAAACCCTCTAAAGGAAATGTTGAGAGAGATATATGAATGTCCGTGTTTATCTGTGAATAAATAACTAATATTTGTTCGAATTAGTAGTTTGTCGAAATATGTTTAGATATTGTTTATCTTGCGCGAACCGATTATTAAAATTATAAAAGCTTAGCGAACCGGTTGTTGGGTTATCCCAAAATAATCTTATATATTAATAGCCGATCGTCTAGCTAAAATGTTAATTACGCTACTCTTGTGAGCGCGTCCTCGAATGTTTTGAAGTTAAAAATGTCGCTAATCTTCTCGTCATAAATTTGATATGTCTTCCTCTGGATCTTTGAGACTGTCGCGATTCAGTTGGAATGTGGCTGTAACACATCTGATGACATTAGGGTCAAAATCTTCATGCTTCTCAATAGAACTATGATGAGATATATTCTCTATAATAAATGCGAATTTCGGTGTCAATATGACACGTTTTCTCAACTTTACTCCTAGAGGTCGTAGCTCAACATATCATACCATTTTGGAATCAGGTCAAATCTGTGAGCAAATTAAAGAACCAGACCGGATCCGACCTGTAATCATGACATTTTTGAATTTTCATTAATGCGATTTTTTCGGCGATTTTTTACGTGAATTTTTATGAATTTTTACGACGAATGTTTTGTCCGATAACAATTTTTATAATTTGGAAATAAATTAGGGAATAACTGAAATTAATTGCGAAATCCAGCGAAAGTCATCGATGAATTAAGAATAATTGTTTGTACGGAAAGTAAGGACCTACGTACATCAAATTATCTTTAAATTAAGTGGCGACAGAAGAATTATCGTTGAACATTTAAAATGTAAGCTTAAATATTAATGCATACTTAAATGCAGTTTTGAGTCCTTTTGTAGTTTATTGTTGCTTATCGCATCTACTCCTTCCTACCGATTGTAATGAAGGCTCAATGAAGAAACTTCTTCAGGTGCTAGCCTAAGGTCTGCACAATGGGGCGACTTTTAATCTAGTAATAAATAAATGTTTTCTATTAAATTAAAAAATGTTTTAATTCTTTTTTGTGATTTGTTTCCATCCCCGGATGAAAATAAGCAGAATAGGTTCCTAAATATTACCTGCCTTTATAGAATCGGTTCTTGGAAATTTAAGATGTCACAATATATATATATATATATATATATATATATATATATATATATATATATATATATATATATATATATATATATATATATATAGTCGAGTCTCTCGTCAAAATTCGACGGATGAGGGTCAAGACAACGGCACATAAGATTTGATTATAGTGGTGAAGGCTTCGTACAGGACCATCCACACGGTGGAGTAATGGATAGCGGCTTGGATTGAGCCGAGTTCGAATTGCAGTCGAATCCATTACGTTCACTTACGTGCTAATACCCTCAGCTATGGGTAAAAATAGAAGGACAAACTGGGTTCTATAGCCTTGGATGGCAACTGGTGTAGGAGAAGGGCAACTCTGAATTCATGAATTCAAAACTTGTGGAGGGTCGTTTGGGGATCTTTGGCACTCAGTGAACCAGGTCTCTGTATTCGTCCCTTCAAAAGTGTGGAAATATATATATATATATATATATATATATATATATATATATATATATATATATATGTGTGTGTGTGTGTGTGAAAATATATAGGAAATAGGAAAGAACTCGTTAGGTAAATAATCCAAAGTTCTTTAGTATTTTTTATTATTATTTTAAAAACAGTGCTCGATACAAAAGTAGAGCCTTATGTAGCGATGGAATAATATTTTTAAATAAATTATATATATATATATATATATATATATATATATATATATATATATATATATATATGTACACGTTGGCCAATGAGCGTCTAATGTGAACGAGAAAGACACGCATGAAATAAATCGCGTTCCATTTTATAAAGTTACATGATTTATTCCCGTATTTTCTAGTTTTTTTTTCGGTTTCGTTTTTTTTTTTTTACTGTTGTTATTCCGTGTTTCCGAGGGCGAAGAGAGAAGCTGTGGATGGGCGGAAACGTGGGATGGTCGGGAAGATTTCATTGGGACCTTACAGCCAATCGAAGTGTGTACAAGGAGAACAGTAGGGTTTCTCCGAATGCGCAAGCGTTGTTCAGAGCGTCGTTCTTTGAGGCTGTCAGTTGCAGGCGGTTACCAATCGAGTTTAGCTCAGCACGAGATTGAATGTAAAAGATTCGTGGCGCTCTTCTCACTTGTAGTATTATGAAACTTGTAGATATTTTTAATTGTAGTTTAGCTTTAATATCTCTTTTCATTTTGTCAAGTGTTTTTATTTTTCGCTCATTCTTTTTGCCATCTTTATTTATTTATATTCTTAATTATCTTTTAACAATTATTTGTTTCTTTTTTTAACTTTTTTATTCATTGCTGTCGTTTTATAATCGCATTTTTCTCTCGTTTTTTATATTTCTTCCTCATTTTGTTTGTATCGCCTCTATTGTATGTCAGAATATGTGGTTTGTTTATTCTTAAAGTGTCATATTATAGGTTCCTTTTCACGTATTAATTCAACTCTTTAAATTATTCACATTTCCTTCTTTTTTTCTTTGTCAATATTTACAATTGTCCCAGCATGTCGCGCGCTTTTCTTTCTTTCTTTCTTTCTTTCTTGCTTTCTTTCTTGCTTTCTTTTTTGCTTTTTTTCTCTTCGATATTTCCAATTGTCCCAGCATGTCGCTTGGTTCTCTCTCTCTCCCTCTTTCTTTCTTTCTTTCTTTCTTTCTTTCTTTCTTTCTTTCTTTCTTTCTTTCTTCTTGCCTTTCCAATATTTGCAGTTGTCCCGGCATGTCTCTTGGTTCTATTTCTTTCTTTCTTTCTTTCTTTCTTTCTTTCTTTCTTTCTTTCTTTCTTTCTTTCTTTTCGATATTTCCAATTGTCCCAGCATGTCCCTTGGTTCTGTCTCCCTCTTTCTTTCTTTTCGATATTTCTAAGTGTCATATCATGTCCCTTGGTTTTGTTTGTTTGTTTCTTTGTTTCTTTCTTTCTTTTTGATATTTCCAATTGTCCCAGCATGTCTCTTTGTTCCCTCTTTCTTTCTTTCTTCTATTTTCTTCTTCAATAATTTCACTTGTCGCTGTCACTGCACATCTGACTTTCTTTTATTTGTTTCTGTAACGAATGCAGTTTTTTTTTCTGCATTTCTTTCTTTTTTTCTATTTGCTTCTTAAATATTTGGAATTGCACCTGCAGGTCTTTGTTTGTCACTTTCTTACTTTTTTTTCTTTTTTCATATATTTCTCCAATCTCTACAATCTGTTTCTTTCTTTCTTCCTTTCTTTCACTTCAATGTTTTTCATTGACTTCCTTTTCTCTCGTTTCTTCGGCCTATGTCTTCATTACATTTTCTCTTTCACATACCATTTGATATCTTTCTTTTCCAATTCCATGTTGAATCTTCACTTTCTCATATCCTGCTTTCCAAAACTACTTCCAAAAAAATAAAAAATAAAATTGACCAAAAATCAGAAGTTCCTTTGGAATTCTTTTTGGTCGTTCCTTGAGAGTTTTCGAGCCAAAATGCGCATATCTTGGGGGAACAAAATCACCATCTCTCCTAATCCCTCTTCTGCCAACCATTTACACAAGCACGTTCGCTGCTTTTTTCTGACCGGCTTACCGTCAACATACCCTGTGAGTGTCAAATTTTCCAAGTCAACTCTCCTTCAGAAATTGAGTCATTTTGTTTCAATTTTCTGTAAAATTTCATGGTTGCTCACATATGGTCTATGGTATTCGCCGCATCATTCATGAGAACCACACTTCTGTGGCTTCAAGCCTTTTCTTCATCTGTGAGGACATTGTCCAGCGTTCGCTGCCATATGGGAGGACTGATATTACAGATTATTATTGATTCATTCACTTGTTGAATTTTCCTGATATTTCATATTACACATTTCGGTAGGAATCCCTTTTATATATTCTTTCTTTTTTTTTAAGTAAGAATTTACTTTCTATTGCATATATAATTTTTGTGTTGAATTGTTTCATCTAGGTTTGAGAGGAATAAATAATATTTATAATCTCAGTGGTGAAAATAAAAAAAAATTGAAAGGGTCGTAAGGCAAGGATGCGTCTTCTCACCCGACTTGTTCAGCCTATACAGCAAGGCAATTCCGAGAGAATTGGAAGCTCTACCGGGATTTACCATTGGCGGCCACAATCTTAACAACATAAGATACACAGATGACACAGAACTGATAGCAGACACGGAAAAGAAATTACAAAATATCCTACAGAAGGTAGCGACGGCGAGTGAGAAGAAAGAAGTAAGCATAAATTACAAAATGACATGGTCATCAGTAAGAGGAAGAACCCGAAATGCGATTTGCAGGTCGGGAACACTAGAAACAAAGCAGACGCGGAAGTTTAAATATCTGGGAAGTATCTTGACAGAGGACGGTAAGTGCGACACTGTGATCCATAGACGTATTCGGATGGCCATGGGCACATTTCAATAGCTGGGCAGAGTATTGCGAGACAGGGGGATTTCTTTGGTAACAAAGAAAAGAATACTGAGCTGTTACGTGACATCTGTCCTTCTTTACGGCAGCGAAGGTTGGACGATTTCCTCAAAGATGAAGGAGAGACTCGAGGCGACGGAGATGTGATTCTACAGAAGGATGCTAAGGATATCATGGACCGAGAGTGTGAGCAACGATGAGGTCTTAGAGAGGTTGCAAACATGGAGGAGGCTTATACTTAAAATCAGGAAGAAGCAGCTGAAGTTTCTTGGACATATAATGAGGAAGGAGGGCCTGGAGAATCTGATACTCACGGGTCGAATAAAGGGAAAGAGAGACAAGGGAAAACAACGTGTGACATGGCACATAAAAAGAAAGAAAGAAGACGAAATTATTTTCTTACATTCTACTCACCCATGTTTCTTTGAACTTCAAATTATTTTATTTTATTTTTCAACTGTGTTTAATATGAAAAAGAATTTGATAACACAGAAAAAAGGTTTGATTTATTTTGGAAAGTTATTAGAATAAACCGAGACATTTAATAGTAACAAACTGCACACCGATAGAAAATGAATTGAACAAGCACGCAAAAATCCAGATGGGTCATAAGACAAGCATGCATCTTCTCACTATATCTATGTAATGTTTACTGCGAGTCGAGAAGTCCTCCTAGGATTTAATATCGGGGGACAATCTCTGCTGATGACACTTCATTGATGGCAGCCATAGAAACAAAACAACGGGAACACCGAGAGAAGGTAGTTAAGGAAAGCGTCAATAAAGGACTAACTATAAATTGTATGAAGACAGAGTATATCGTTGCTAGCAAGAGGAACAGCATAAAATGCAAGCGATGAATTGAAATTGTTAAAATGAAGCAAGTTCAGAAAGTTGACGATCTGGGAAGTGTTATGACGGAAAATGTGACACCAAAATCCGAAGTCGCATTGGAATAGCGAAAGATGGCTTCCAAAAGCTAAGCAAAGTGTTAAGAAACAGGAAAATTTCTTGAGAAACAAAGAGTGCTGATCTTTATGTAATTCCCTTCTTCTAAACTAGTAGTGACTGTTGTGTAATTCCTTATTGTTAGGGGGTCCTCCCCTTTTTACACAAATGGACTCACCCAGGGTATACATATACTACTGCTAGTGAATACCTGGAAGAAGAACGAGAAAAAGCGATGAACGAGCACGAACCAGAACGAGCAAGAGTCACAGTGAAGCAAGCACGTAGACTCAGTAAGAAGTCATACAGTGATACGTCGATACCAAAGACTATATATATATTTTGCTACTAACCCGCAATCCTGGAATTACTAACCTGCATTACCAGTTTGTATTTATTACGTTAATACATTTTTTCTTATATTCCTTCATGAGGTTTGTTATTTATTGGTACCGGAATTCATCCCGGAATCCACAACACTTACTGATAAAGAGGACACTTGAGGTATATATATTGTTGTTTTATGCTGAAGAATACCACGGATAGAACATGGAAAAACGAGAAAGATTTAAGAAAAAGTATAACACAACATCTTTCAGAAAGAATTAGAAATAGGTAGGTGTAATATTTGGGACACATAATACGGAAAAATACTTAGAGAATTTGACACGCACAGGACCTATTAAAGGTAACAGGGAGAGGAAGGAAACTGAGTGTAGTCTACCTAATTAGCTAGTGTAAATGGATTGCAGAACGGGGATTAATATTCTTTAGAATTAGAAAAAAAAGGAAATTGTGGAGAGCCATGATCGCCGACATACGGCACTTAACAAAAGAAAATCAGATATCGTATTTATTATTCATTTATTTTTTTGTAATTCTAGCCCTGTCTTTTTATGGTAACGTTTTCAATTAGGCTTTCCACTGGTGTTGAGTCTCGTTCTGTTAATAACCCGATCTTTGTTTAGTCGATTTGTCCTTGACCATTTTGGCTGATTTATTGTGTTTCAATGTGGAAGATTCTAACGTTTTCCGATTCCAGAGAAAGGTGTTACAGAATAATTAATCGACTTTTCTTAAGGCTTCTATTTGTATGAATCTTTTGTGAGAATTCTGTTCTCAGGGCTGCTGCCAATTTTTCTGTTTCTTTCGTTCTAAATACCAAATGAAGTTTAGATACACAACTTTAAGTTTTAAGTTTTAAAGTTTAAGTTAGAATACACCATTACCTGATTTAAAAAACAACTGTTATAATTTCTAGCTTTTATAACTAAAACTATTTCTAATATTATTACCACTATTATTTGAGAGAGAACCATATCAACAAATGGATACCGGGATACAAATATATGAAGAACAATATAGCCAATCAAATAAGCGTATACAAGTCTCATGCCTCACAGACAAATGTGTGCAATATGGTAACAGGTTTTGATAAAAGCATTGTATAAATGTACAGATGAGGCCCCTGTTAGAAATACCTTCAGTTAGGTTAATCTAGTCGACTCAGACGGTCTTCCATTGAGGTGGTTCCCAAGTAGCTAAATGTGACACCCAAATCACTTTGGTTGCTGTATCTTTCAAACTAAACACAAAAAGATCCTTTCGACACTGTGAACTGATGATCCCGAAGTACTTCTGTTCATGAACAGATATGCATAGTACGTCAGTCGTTTGGAGACATACCCAATTGGTTGAGGTCAGATTAATGACAAACACATCCGTGAATTGGAATTTTACTATCGCCAGGACAAAAAAAAAAAAATGCTAAGACTTCGAATTAATTAAATCAGAAACCATGGAAGTCATACCTGTTGTTGTTGCTTTATTATTATTATTATTATTATTATTATTATTATTTTATTTTGTTTCTGGCGTTTACACATTTCTTTCCGGGTCCCGCCCAGGGACATAAGGTTAGAAATGGCGTCATGACACTTTCCACTGACAAAAAAAAAAAAAAAAAAAATTAAAAAAAATACATAGATAAAGCCCTTCGTAAAATGTGGGCTGTACTTGTCAGAACAATTTTTTGTATCTCTTTGAGGCATGGACTTCCAGGAATCCCTTCAATTAGTCTACTGAAATCTTTTCTAAACATTCCTAGTGCTCCAACTACAACAGGGATTGTTGATGTTCCCATATGCCACATTTTTGAGATTTCTATTTCAAGGTCCTTGTATTTTGACAGCTTTTTGAATATCTTCAAAGATATATTGCAGTCAGCAGGGACTGCCATATCAATAAGGAGACACATTTTTGTTTGTGGTCTTTAATAACAATATCTGGGCGATTGGCTTTGATTATTCTGTCAGTGTGTATTGTGTAGTCCCGTAGAATTGTAACAGGTCCTATCTCCGTAACCGGGTCTGGGTGGTGTTCATACCATTTTCTTTCTTTCTTTCTTTCTTTCTTTCTTTCTTTCTTTCTTTCTTTCTTCTTCTTCTTCTTCTTCTTCTTCTTCTTATTATTATTATTATTATTATTATTAGTAGTAGTAGTAGTAGTGGCAAAGAGTAGTAGTAGTAGCAGCATACAAATTATCTAACAAAGCATGAAACCGGAAAATGCAACAGCGAAATCCTAAGACGCATTGGAATAACGAAAGTGCCTTCCAAAATTTAAGCAAAGTATTAAGAACGAAATTTTTTTC